TGACCGTCTTTTTGCAGGCTAGTGTCTTTTCAGCATATGTCCTCATTGTGATTTTCATTTGGTTTCTTCTTTCTTCGGTTTGCTCTTGTTTTCCTTGGGTTTCTTTGGTTCGTATCGCGAGGCTTCTCGATATCGCCAGGCCGGGGCCTCCGGGAGTCAGCGGGGCGTGTCAGCTCAGCTGGCCGGGAACCCCACACGCGGCTGGGGACGAGAGGGTGGGGGAGGTGTAAGAGGCTGAGGTCATGCGGAGGTCTCCATATGGCATTTCCATGTTCCGTGAAGCCATCCAGGTTTGTCTATGCCCTGTGAGGGGCATAGGGGGACTCTCTGAGCGTCCCGCCAAAAATCAAGGGATTCTGTAGACCACGCTCATACTCGGTTTTGATGGTGGCTGGATTCCTTTTTGTAGGAGTTCGTGGAGTTACAACAATCCCTGAATGCAAGCAAGGCTGACAGCTGCTAGGTGCTACTTGTGTCTTGTGTCGGTTCTATGGACAGATCTATCGAGCAACTGACGAACATGTTAGCGTTGTAATCGATCTCGCGACTCGCTGATGTCGTGGACATGTGCGAAATAGCAAACTATAGTGGACCCACAAACGGCGATGTTTGAGAGTTGCGCCGGACATTCCACTTTTGCATACCATTTCGCAGATCTTTGATTAGTCCACTGGCCAGTTCTTTTGGTTTTGCTGGTTTTGCCGTGACTTTTCAAGGTTTGGGGGCTTTTGCCAGCAATTGTTGCCTGTTCTGTGTTCTTCGTCTTTGGACAATCAATTTGGTTCTAGGGGCTTTTGCATTTAATGTTATTGGTGCTATGTGTTTGTTCGTTTTTTTTTGATTTGACGAGGGCTCCCTCTTTAGCTCTCGAGAGACTTCAAGGATTTCTCTCTTGACAGGGGCATCGTGCCGGTCCAAGCCGCCGATCCCAGACTCATTCTGATTGGCAGTTGGCCGATTCCTTCATTTGCATTGCCACATTTCAAGGCGAGAGCCTCCCGCACTTTCTTTCTCTTTTCTCTTTCTATCGTTTGCTCCTTTGTGTTCTCCCTCTTCTTCCCTTTTTCTCTATTTCTCCTTGTCTGCTTTTCTCTCCTCTCTCTCTCTCTCTCTTTGTTTGTCATTTCTCTTTTGCTCTTTTGCTCTCTTTCCTTTTGCTTCGCTTCTCTGTTTTCTCGCTTATCGTTTGCTTTTTTGTTCTCCTTTTTTTTCATTATTATTTATTATTAGTATTATTATTATTACTATCATCATTATTATTATGTATTTTTCTCTGCCCAATTTTTCTCACTGTTTATCGTTTTATATTGCTCTCTTTTGCTCTCTTTTGCTCTTTGCTCTTTTGCATTTTCATCATTTTCTAATTTTCTCATTTCCTCCTTTTCTTGTTTTATATTTTTCAGTGTTTTTCTTTTGTGCTCTTTTTCTCTTTATCTTTGTTTCTCTTCTTCTCTTCTTCTCTTTTTCTCTTTGTCTCTTTGTCTCTTCTGCCATTTTATGCTTTTCTCTTTCTCTCTTTTTGTCTTCTTGTCTTTTTCTCTTTTCTCCTTCTCTCCTTTTTTCTTTGTTGTTTTTATATTGGTTTCTCATTTTTCTCTTTTTGTTTTTCTCTCTTTCTCTCTTTCTCTGTTTGTCTCTTCTCTTTTTCTTTCCCTTTCTATTTCCCTTCCTCTTGCTCCCCCCCTTCCTCTTTCTCTTTGATTGTTTCTGTCTCTCTCCGTCCCTCCCTCTCTCCTTCTCCTTCCTTCCTTCCTTCATTCACCTTAGAGCTTTTGGATATTTTCAATACTCGTCGAAGGCAGTTCCTACGTCGCACAGGTCACCGATGGGGAGTAAGAACTCAAGCTGCACAGGAATGTCTCCACCTGACTGAAACAAGCTCAGGCTGAGTCCCTCACAGAACCAAGGGCCAAATAGCCTGCTTGCTGACCGCACAGGACTGGAAAAGCCAATTCCGTGTTTCTTCTTTTCCGGAGGTCCCAAAAGCCTGAACCAATCCAACAGGAGCCTTGAATGCCGAGGCCTCGCTCTTCCAGCCGCTGCTGCTGGCGCTTCTCTTTGCTGCTGCCTCTTACCTCGGAGAGCGCTCTGGCTGCTGATTGGCGCCAATCCCCTAAATATCTGAGTTTTGACTGGATCAGCAGAACTTGCTTGTATCACCCACTCACCAGAGTGCTTTTTGAGTGGTTTGTTCAACATGGATATCTATGGGGATCATGACAAGTGCCGTTCGTCCGATTTCCGCCAAGGATGTTTGTTCACTCGCAAAGCAAGTTGACATTCTTTGGGTATTTGATGCTGGGAGCGCTTGCAGCCATCATTTTGAGAGTGCAAGCGCAAAACAGCCTTTAGTGTCTTATTTTGGGTTGCGTGTTGATCAGTTCGGGGGATGTTCCAAGCGGGGGGCATTCTGGCTGAGGTCTGAGGTGCCTGTGAAGACCGGCGTGGACCGCCCGGGGCCCTGGATGCCTTCCCTCGGTCTGGGTTCGGCGACCGATCTGGGAGGTCCAAGGCCATGAAGGGGGTGGGAGGGGGGGGAGGCTTGGATGGTCAACTCGCTGGGGCCTGGAGTGGGGTTCAATTGCAATAAATGAAACCTACTTGGGTGCGGACTAAGGGTTATTTGCTGGCTGCGGAGTCAGCTTCGGCGCAAACGCATTCATGCATTCGGGTAGGTCAGCAACACAAAGGGCAAACAACAAACACGCGGCAGGCCCAAACTCGCCAGGTGAGACAACCGCTTCTTTCCGCCTCGCCGCTTTAGAGACCAACACTCTTCCTTGTTCATCTCCGCAACAGAGTAGGGACAAGGGGGCTCTTCGCTTGGCTCGAATAGAAGAAGCCCTCCGCTCGGGGGAAGGCGTGGTGCATGTGGGTGACCCCTTCGCCACCAAGTATGCGGCCCGGCTCTGCGAGGCCCATGGGACCTCCAAGTTGGGCGAGCCAAGGGATGCTTTTGCTGTCGGGTCGGAAACCGTCAGTGCAAAACCCCCACGTTTTGCACACTTCGCAAGAAGGTGCAAGACACCTCGCGAGAAGGTGATCCCAGGAAAGTGATCCACCCCTGCCCAAGTGATCCCACCAAACACATGGCAAAGCACCCCCGCCCCAAGTGATCCCACCGAACACATGGCAAGCACCCCCCGCAAAAGTGATCCCACCGAACACATGCTAAGCACCCCCCGCCCAAGTGATCCCACCGAACACATGCTAAGCACCCCCCGCCCAAGTGATCCCACCCAACACATGGTAAGCACCCCCAGACATGGTAAGCGCCGCAGCCGTGATCATCCCACCTATCACGTGGCAAGCGCCCCCGCCCAAGTGATGCAATCCAACACATGGTCAGCGCCCAAGCGACCCACCCAAATCCCACCCAACACACGGTATCCGCCCAAGTAATCTAACCCAATGGTAAGCACCCCTGCTCGAGTGATCCCACCGAACACATGGTAAGCACGCTTACCCCCGCCGAAGTGATCCCGCCCCATACATGGTAAGCACCCCCGCCCGAGTGATCACTCATCACATAGTAAGCACCCCGGCCGTTTTCAATATCTGAGTGAGATGTAAGAGCGGTGATTCGAGAGCGGCAAAGAAGTTAAGAGTGTTCGAAGGCACTGCTTTCACAATATTCATAAACCAGAGGCGCCAAGGTCCAGAAACGAAAAAAAAAGTCTCTCCAGAAACATGCATAAGTTGATCACCGAAGATGGCTGCGGCTGAAACATTGAGAATTCCCATGCAAAATCATTGCGCAGCATTCAAGAAAGGTTTCAGAGAAAACCACCATAAAAAAGAATACGAGGTGCGTGCTGGCCCACGCCTACCAATGTTTTCAATACATGGTGGCACCGAAACGACCTTTCGGCAGGCTTTTTGCTGTTGGATTGGCAAAATCGCCAGGCGAAGCGCACATTCCGGACAAACATGACCGACGGAAAACGCTCCGCCGGGATGTTTTTGCAGTTTGATACTGTGGATGGACGAAATCCTGCGCCACCTAAGCAACCACAGAATGATGATTCCCCTGAAAATACGACAAACAATGGTTTCCCATGGTTTATTTTGTCTTGTGGTTGTGTTTTGGTCTTGTTGTGGATTTGTTTCGTGTGGCTTGGCTTTGGTTTTGGTTTGTTTGCATTGTATGTGCACACGCATAGCGCATTGCACAGCGCATGCACGCCTCCTTGTGCGGGCGCACGCACATGCTCGCGCATGCACACGCACAGACCCAGGCACAGGCACACGAACTTGCACAGGCACCCAAGACGCACACGTTTTGTTATGTTCTGTTCGGTTACATCGCATTGCGTTTCTTGCATGATGCAATGTTACATGCCACTTAGACTTGCAGATGTGCTGTGTGGAAGAAGCCCTTCCAGTGAGCTTCGGCAGGCCTGCCGATGTTTCTGGCAGTTGCAAGCAGGCAGCCTGGAAGAAGAAACCTGCACTCGCGCCAGGATGGTGTCTTCGCAGCCTGGCCCTTGGATTTTGTTGAAGATGGGGAAGCTGTTTTTGCATGTTGGACGGTGTTGACAATCTTCACTTTCCCGAAAAAAACGTAGACATGACCGAGGGATCATCAAAGGGTCCCAGGTTTGGTTACATGTTCTTTTGAGAGTAGGCTTCGTGTTTGGACTCTGTGGCCTGACTGGACATGAAGGTATTTTTCAGTTCCAAAGGACAGCCGTGGGCACATGAAGTGTGAGGATCACACCAGACGTTTGTAGAGCAAAGTTCCTTTGGGTGTTTCGTTTCTTGTCATGCAGGAGTTGAGTGAATCAACCTGCGGCCTTTGGAGCGGCATGTTGTTTTATTTTAGCTGTTGGATGGTATGATTGCCTTGGTCGGCAAACTAAGCAGGGGAGCGTGTCTTTCGGATTTTTGTTTCTCCCCATGCATTGGAGTTTGCGCTGTTTCAAGTTGCTACGTGAGCCGGTGTGCGGTGCCCAGGCTTTGTTGAAGAGGCACACAAGAGTTGAAAGGACATCAACCGCAGTTCTGGCTAATCTGTCCACGTAGCAGTAGGCATTGTTATTTTGTGCAAGCCATGGGTTGCTTGGCGGGAAAGAACATGCAGGAGCCGCAGCAGCCTATGCTGTACAGGCCACAGGACTACGCCTACGACTGCCAATACGAACAACGCCCTTACCCTGGCTATGGCCAGCCTGGCTATGGTCAGCCCGGCTATGGTCAGCCCGGCTATGGTCGGCCTGGTTATGCTCAGTCAGAGTACGGTCAGCCCTTGTATGGCCAGCCCGTCTACGGCTATGAGCCCGGCATGCCAGGCTATGCGCAGCCACCTTATGCCCAGCCACCTCCGCCCGGGCAATTCGAAGGTGACTACCAGAGTGGACCATCCGAGCGCGGGAACGGCACAAGGATGGCGCTGGCGGCTGGTGGAGGTGTGGCGGTGGGTGCTGGCACTGTCTTCGCCGTGGAGCACGCGGGGGAGATTGGCCGATTTGCTGAGAACGCGGTGGACGATGTGGGCGGCTTTGTTGGTGACGGCTTCCGTGATGTGGACAACTTGGTTAGAGACATTTTCTGAGCGTTTGAGTTGGTGGCCCTCAACTGCAGGGCCGAAGAAGAATGATGACACAGAACTTGCACATGTAAAGACCGTCCAGGTGAAGCTTGGGCTTAGTTAGCAGGTCGCGTTCTAGCTGATGCCATTCTGGCCACTACAGCGCCTTCTTGTTGATATGTACAGCTGGCTAAGATATTGCCAGATCAAGGACGGCAAACTCACTCATGTCTGCTCATGAATCTCAAGAGTGAACGGCGTGGATTGAAGTCTCAGGACATTTTGCAATCTGCTGGATCTTGTAGGGCTGACTGAAGGTTGAAGAACTCTGCGGATTTCCGCCCACTTGTTCCAGGGAAGAATTTTAGCTATTGCATGGTGCGACACCTGGGCTTTCTTGTAGATGCTCACAAAAGTCGCATGTTCCAGGTAAGTCGATTGAACCATTGAGCTGCCACTACCAAGCCAATAGTCCGAGCTTGCGAATTCCAGGCAATGTTTATCCAGCTGCCGATCTTGCAAGCTTCGTTTGGCAGGGTTGACCCCGGGATTTATCAACCTAACGGATTGATAGGGGGGCTTCATCTGAAAGTGAAGAATGCCTCCACCGTATGTAAAATCAATCAGGGGTTCATCAATTCTGGGCCAAACTTAGATGTCAAAGAGCAAGATGCGCGCCCCGGTCATAGCCCGTTTGAGAAGAGATTGGACAGATATTGTAAGGATTCCTATGACAGAAACCCATGACCATGATGCACTGGAGTATTTTTGACCTGGGAACACATGTCCCCCCCCCTTTTGGTGGCCTTCCAAAACACGCCAACCCCCCCGAACCCCCCCAAAAAAAAACCACCCTTTTGAAGACCAACACTGGAGGTGTGTTTGGGGGGTGCTGTGCTTGGTCCGGTGGGTGCCGGCAAGTTAGCAATTTGCATACCCTTTGCCCCAGGTGGCCCCGGCAGATGGGTCGGGAGCTGAGTTATGCAGAAACACGGTGATTTATTTGATTTTCACGATGCTCGTGCATACTCTGCCACTTGCTCTGCTTGGTTGCTCTTTTGCTAGTTTTCGTGTCTCCCGTTCGAATTCTTGCTTAAAGACTTTACATGTCCATGGCCAGGACAGACTGTTCAAGCGAGTTCCTCAAGTGCCCAGGCGCCCCTTTCTGTGCTTGACGCGCTTTGCCGCGGGCGCAACTGTTTAGCGTGCGCTTGAACTTGCCCCGACAGCTGCCTTCAGTTGTATAAGCACGCTTCATGTGCACGAGGCGTGAGCAAGTGATTTTGCAGGAGTTTTGAACGGCTTATTTTTGGGTTCTGGGTCTCCCAACAGATTTGGCTCGATGTCCGTGGCGGCTACAAATTCTACTGCGAACAACCAAACAACCCACGCGTAGTCTTGTCCATCTGAAAAGAGGCCGACTGCCATGCAACTCCGAAGGAGGCTGGAACCAAGCCTAGTTGACTTTGAAGGAGGAAAGGCCTTAATTCCCCAGCATTTGTGCCAACTGAGAAGCAACAGTGGATGATGGGAGGTTCAACACGACGGCAACAACTAAGAGGGAACCTGCCAGAAGGCCCTTTTCGAAGAAGCATGTTTTCTTGGGGAGTTCCAAGGGAAGGCTTCGCGCCGATAGGTTGGGCGCGGACTTCCGGCGCCTGTTGAGCCAGCGCTCGCAGCATGGGGCCGAGGGGTTGTTTGGGGTGCAGTCGGAGTGTGGCGATGGGTCTGGGTTTTGCTGGGGCACCCTTTGGTGGACATCATCTAGGTGTTCATTTTCAGCAACCGCTTTTAAGGTGGTGCATGAACAAAAAGACATGCTGCTCTCGGTCTGAAGATGTTGGCAGATGGTGGCCACGTGTCGTTGCGCTGTTGCTGCCATGCTGCCTTGCTTGCTGCTTTTCATAGCGTTCTGAACAACCAGCATGGGTATGAATTCCTGTTTTCAGAGACCCGAGGCCTGCTGGTCTCTGCAACTGGTTGCAAGCACTGGGCTTTTGGCTTCTGACTTTGACATCGGTAGCTTTGCCATTCAGCCAGATTCCTGCAAGATCGGGTGCAACCAGGGGGTTCTGCTGAACCTGGGCTCGTCTTGCCAGTTTCGACCAGGCACTTTCCAGCCGGAAGCAAGCTCCAAGAAAAGGCAGACCGCTATTTCCCCAAGCAGGACGCAAGCGCACTCAATCCAGCGACGGATGCTCCCTCTCGACTTGCCACTTCTCTTTGCGCCTCCGGTTTTGGGGCCGCTAGTTTCGGGGCCCGGGGGGTCTGTTCGCCACCTTTGGTGGAGAAATGATCGACCCTTGTATTGAAACTGAAGGATTCCTTTTGAGGGGACACAGGGTGGCAATCATTTCCTCTCCAAACGCCGCTTCTAGTTGCGCCTCCGGTTTTGGGGCCGCTGAAATTGGGGGTGCCTCGTCTTCCCCCGACTCCGACCGAGAGCTCGACTTCGGATTTGGAGTTCGAAATGGGTATGGGTCAAAATTAAACCACCAGGAATTGGACCGCAGGTTTTAGTTCATGTTTCCATTTGCCAGGATTCCATGTTGGGTACCCTTCCTCCAACTAACATGGCACCTGTGGGGAGGTACCTGGAAGATGAGTTTCCTAAAAGGAAGGGACCCGATCTCAGTTGCCATAGTGAGAGGGAAGGTACCTATTTTTGACCCACAGCCAAATGTCGAAGGTCGCCGCCGCGGCTGGTGGCCTTTGAGGACTCCGAGGCCGTGGAGGACTACGCGGCTCGCTCGATGAGACGAGGGACATGGCTAGCGGCTGGCGACGCGGGGAGAACCGAAGGTGGGTCCAGGACTTCCCGAAAACATTAGGTTTCAGGTTTAATTGGTGGGAGATTTGGTTTGTTGTTGTTGGGGATCAGGTTCATGGGTGGGAGGCTTGTTTCTGTTTTTTGGGGATGCTAAAATGGTTAGTCGGATTTGAGGGTTTGCTGGAGGTTCATTGGGGCTCACTGGGGAGTTGAGATCAGTGTTTGTCTCAGACTGCCTTCCTTGGCTCTCGGGATCAAAACCCAAGGCTTGAACCTCCTGGAAAGGTTGGAGCCTTTTCTCAATGGAGTTCTTAGGGCTCTGAAAACCTTTCTGGTCGTTGATCAACTGGTTGATTCGAGTGTCTGATCTTAGACATTACTTGTTGGGAAAGCTGACATACATCTATTTGCATACAAGAGGCCTCCCTCTGCAAGAAAGAGCCGAGAGAGCAGCGCGTTGTACCCAGGAAAATGCATTGGGGAGCGTCCCTTCCTTCATAGGGGTACGCCCCCGTCGTCCATTCTTAGGTGACCCTTTGGCTCTGGTTTTTCAGGATTCCGAGGTGAAACCCAGCACTCGAATTGTCGGTTTCCATCATTTCTTTCTCCACCACCCAAATTGTGGGGTTTCCCTCGACGACTTCTTCAAAGTTGACCCTCACAGTTTGCAAGCTGAGGTGAAGGCTCCGGACTACGGCGAGAGGAAGAAGCCGCCGCTCTGCGGGGCGAGGGACCTCAGGGCAGGAAAAGCATGTTATCCGTGACGGGATGTATCTGAGGGTTGGGACCCATGTGCCGCAAAGGAACCCTGGATTTCGTGCCAGATGTTTTTTTTTTGGCTAGTTTACAGGTAGCGCTTTGAGCATGAGTTGGCATGGCACTCCTCGGATGTCATGAGGTGATGGATTGATATGAACCTGCTTTCGACTTGTTTGTATTATTTCAGGGTCACTTGTCCTGAATGGTAAAGGACACTAGCAGTAAGCAAGTCGTCTATGCATGCCATGAGCATTTGCTGAGGGCTAGGATTCCGGTTTGGCTTCCGGCAACCCGCTCAAGGATACACACAGACTTGGACAATACGTCACTTCAACATGTGTATGCACATCGCCACTGGGGGAATAACACCTTGAGTTGGGAAGCCGGCCAATCCAAGCCCAGCACTATGTTTTGGCAACAGCATCTGACCGTGGAGGACGCTTCCATTTGGCAAAGGCCGATGGGACAAACAAAATCCGAGGCGTTTTTGTCGAGTGTTTTTTTTTCTTCTTCTTTTGTTCTTCTATTTGTATTTTTTTTAGGCTCAACGAGCCGGGCGCATGATGGTTGGTTCAGCTGAAGATTTCCCAGCCTCAACCAAAGAGAGGTTTCTTGTTTTCGCATGTCACATGAAACAACTTCCCAAATGTGGTCAGATGGTCTATGGTGGCACGCCACTTAAAGGTCATGGCTTCATGACACAGAGACATACGGGTGTCAAAGGTCATGGGTCCTCCCCCAGAGTGAGGCATATCCAGATGTCCAGGTCATGTCCTCCAGGGCCCAAACCCACTACTCCTGCAACAGAACCCCCCCCCCCCACCTTACAACGCGAGAGAGGGTCGCATCCCCCGCAGGGTTTGCCGTCCAATCCAAGCCTCTAGAAACTTGTTTGGTTCTGTTGCTCTAGATTCCGCTATGTTTCCGCTATTTTTTGTGATGGCTTCCTCTTTGCCACTTGCAACCCCCTGAGGGTGTCGTGCCAAGTGCGGGCGTCGCAGATTTTGTTGCCCAGGCCGTCATATTCGACCCCGCGAACGCGAGCAAGTACACGATCCGGCTGAACGGCACCATCGTGGGCAACCGGGCGGCACCTCGCCCAGATTCCCCCACACCATCGAAACACGTATGTCGTAAGTTTGTCTTGAACCCACGGGATGCGCTGGGTTTTGCTTTGTTCAGGAGTCGCGAGCCCAACGCTGTGCGGACGAGAGAATCTCAGAGCCATGACTCATAGAGCAACACATCAATTTTCCCACCGCAACGCTGGCGGCCTGCGCTGGAAGAATCAGTCGGAATAAGTGGGTTTGCAAATTTGGACGGACGCATCGATCCAAAAGCAGAGTGTTGCCCTGAGCGTTGGTGTGTGAAGCTGTGGACTCTGAAGGGATCGCACGCGTTTTTGCTTTCCAAGTCCAAAGGTGGGAGCAAGCTGGACAGAGGCTCTTTCTGCAAACTTAGCTGTCGCGTCTATCGCAGTTGCAACCTCATGTTGCGGATTCCTACAACTTATGGAACAGCCAAAGACTTCACTCCCTAGTATCAGGCACGCTCCCACGGAGGATCACACTTCACGGAGAAGAGAACATCCCTGATTCACTTGGGCTGATTTGGATGAGGCCTTTTCTGCCTTAAGAGCTGTCTAGTCCATGAACAGCGAGGCAGGCAGTATTTTTTGGCATGCCATTTTCCTGGTCAGGCTGGGGTTCATACCGTTTCATGACGCGGGTTTCATGGG